GCCGCGGCGTTTCTGCCCACCGCCCGCCAGCTACAGCGCTCTGGGCTGCAGCGGGGAGGGGGCGCCTGGGCTGTGGGCTTCGTTGGTCACTGATGTCTCCGCTGGCCATGGGGTGCCCTAGACAAGCTAAAGTGTAAGTTGGGACCAGGCAGATGGACAGAATCCAGCCCCAACCTTCAGACAGGACAAAGCCTGGCAAATAGCCAGGGTCCAGAGGGTAAACCAGGGGCCACACGACAGCACCAGGGCCAAAGGGAACAGGAGGCACCGCGCCCAGGGAGGACCTGTGTGCCCAAGCTTTGCCTGAGGGACCTTCCAGATGCTTCCTGTTGGATCGGGAGCCTAGAGACCGCTCCTCCCGCGGCGGAGGGAGGGAGGGAGGTGTTGGACGGTGGGAGAACCTGCTCAGAGCACAATGAAGGGAAAGGCTGCTCCTGGGGAGACAGCCACTCGCGGCCTGTACACAGGAGCAGGCTCCACTCACAGCCCCGCTCGAAGGGCACAGCTGGAGCATTGTAATCCCAACAATGGCCTAGACGGAATCCAGCCATGGTAAAGAGGCGATTATTTCCCCCTATTGTTCGCTTTTGGCTCTAGGTAGCATTGCCCCAAAGTCACGAAATCAGGAGCCCAGGGTTGCCACCATCTCTACTGATGAGATCAGTCCACATCGGTGCAGTATGAATGAGAGCGAAGCTGCACCCCGGGGAACCAAGCCAAATGCTTTCCTGCGCCTAGACCCCCGGGGGGTGGGCAGCAGGGGCGATGCCAGGTTCTCAGTGGGGCAGAGCCTTTCTGGTTGATTGCCACAGTGGCAGGGGGGCGGGGGGAGCAGCACTTCAAACTCTCTAATTCGTTTCTACCCAAAGGGACGTTTAAAAGGCTCTCCATCTCCAAAAGCAGTCCTTGACAACGACTGTCCAGAAAACACGCTCGAGAAGGGCGATCGTGCCCACTCGCCTGGCAGAGTGGGACCAATCTTTTACCTTGTGTTTCATCTTGGAAAATGTGTTGGTGTCTATGGGACCCATGACAACAGCCTAGCCAGCCTTTTGGGACCTCATGTGATTCATCTCTGTCTCCCCAAGTGACCGGCACAGGGCTTTGCACACAGTAGGCACACAGGAGCAGGTGAATTGAAAGCAGTCTTCTCAGGAACTTTGGAAAGAAACGAAAATCTCAAAGTCAACTTCCCTCCCAGGTTTCTGTACCTGGTGCAGGATTCATTACTTGACACCTGCTGGCAACCCGCTTTTTAATATTTGGGGGCATTTCACATCAATATGCGCGTCATGCTGTTAGGTGGCTGGGGCTGTTCTCTCTCAATTGCCTCCATCTCCCCACAAAGCCTGGAATAAAGTGCTGGTTCCAGAAGTGACTCAACGCATAACTGCCAAGTAGCCAATATCATTTTCAATTTCCGAGGCAGCTCCGGGAGCGGGGGCAGAGGACTGATGTGACAAACACAGATTTGACTAGTTTCTTTGCTTCAACAAGTGAGTGGGAGCACGGAGGCTCGGAGCCCTACCCTGCTTAGGGGAGTCCCACAGCAGGGTGCTGGTTCCATCCACATACACCTGTTTGCTCATGTCCTGAAACTGCCACCCAAACATTCCTTCCTGTCACTGAGCCACCTGCACTTGCGAATGCTTCTAAAATAGAAGCAGAGTGGAAGAACGTGTCCATCAGCACAGCCCCCAGCCCCTCTCCCAAGGCCTCCGCATGCCTTTCATGGATTCAGAGTCTGAGCTGAAAAGAACTCGGGGGCATCAAGTTCAAACCCGGCCTGGCTCATGAGTCCTATGGAAAACATCTCCAATATGTGGTCATCTGTCCTTTGATTTAACACCGCTTCTGTCAGAGAGCCAACCACCTCCTGATAGCCATTCCATCTCAGAGCCCTAATTTTTAGAATATTTTTCCTTGGGCTGAGCTGAAATCTGCCTGTTGCTTAACTACCACCCATAAGCTCTAATTCTGCCCCCGGGGCCACACAGAAAACATCTTAATGCCTCTTCCACAGGACGATCTTGAAGGGGCTGAAGACAACATTCTTCAAATTCATTCCAAATAAGTACCTTACTGTACCAGACTGTCAGGAGCTGGAAACTGCGCCTTCCCGTCCCACAGGTTCCCCCGCCCCCACCCCCAGGCAGAGCCCAGCAGGTGATCCGCGTCCACACTCTATGTACCAGCGACAGACACAGCCATGTTCCTCAGCCTGGTGACAACCTTAGGTCGTTCATCACCCGCTCGCTCCCTTTTGAAATTCTCTCTGCAGCAAGCACTCTTTAAACTCTCGCACGCAATGCATTTTAAAGAGCATTTCTGTGCAGATCCGTTTGCTCGACCTCGGCTCTGAGCGCGATGGAACGGCCTCTCAGTGTGGTCCTGCTCCTCCCGGAGCCCGAGTCGGAGGGATGCCAGAATGTACCTGTACATGTGCACGGTGGGCGCTCGACGACACAGTGTCTCGTTAAACGCTCATTTGCCGATGACGATGCATCTTGCAAAGAACATGCATTGCTAATGCAAAATCTAGTCCAGAAATATGTATTAGGACGTGCACATTTTTTTAATAATGCAGACAATCTGAGTGTGTTTATATCAGTGGATCGGCTCTGAGCTGCCACCTCCATCATAGGCGCAAAGCACTCCTAGAAAACGAAGTACTTCCTTTACATGCACCAAAGAATCACAGCCCACCTCACTGGTGACAGCTGGCATTCATCTCCATTCAGAGGGCACTCACCAGCACCCAGGTGTTCCCAAGTTTTTTCCCACTGTGCCCTGAAAACCACCTGGACAACGTCTTTATGCCCCGACCACTCTCAGTGGGGCTGTGCTAACTTGAAAGCAAGCAAGCAGGTGGGTCGATGCGGGCAGAACCTTTAGAAACATCTCCCTCAGGGCAGAGCGATCAGGATTTGAGATACCCCTGTCCAGTGTCCCACAATACAACCCACACGATGACGAAGCCCTTTTGGTTTCTCTGGACAGTGTCATCGTAGGGCATAGCTAGAGCTCAGCATGGTCCTTTCGGTGGGTTTGCCAAATCAATCCCACTTTATCGGACCAACCAGTATCTTAATGCCACAAACTAAGTCGAAGAACACAAGATGAAAGGTAGACACAGCCGAGAAGCAGGTCAAGAACGTTCAAGAACACCCACAGCCAACACGGAGAAACAAAACCTCAACACGTCGAAAGCAGTTGCTAGACTCTGAGGTCTTAACTCTGGGTTTGGTAGCCTGCGTGCAGGCACGGCGAAGGTCTGAGGCTGAATCCCACCACGCCGAGAAACAGCTGTGGGTGCGTGACTTCAGCCACCGGGAGGGACCGCCAGGCGGACGACCTCCAAAGGGAAAGCGGGATTACAGGAGGTCGAACCCCTTCGCATTTAACCCACACTGACTCCAAGACAAAAACACCATGTGTCTCACAGGAAGCAGCCTGTTGGCATTTCCATGGATTCTAGGAAGATGGCTTGGCTTTGAGTTACGCTACCGCTGGACTTGTCACTACGGCAAAATGGCGTTCCACGTTTACACGAGAGGGCAGACACAACGCGGACACGGCAGCTGGGTTACAGGCGGGACTCCAGAGCTTCCAGAGGAGCATGCTTTCCTGAGCGAGCCCACTCCGGGGATCCCCTGCAGCGGGACATGGAGAGCCTTCGATTTTCCAGGCCCGAGAAAGAGCCGTACTAATCTCTCCGTCCTCTTAGCCTTTGGGGTTCAACAACACGATCGAGGGGCGTCTAGCTGTCCCCTGACCCTAAAGCCCTAGTTGATCTAACAATTTTCTCATGTAGAAATCAAACTGGAATAAACAATATGGGTGGGTAAAGAGGGATTCTAAGGGCTTTACCACTGACTCACAGCAGAGTAATCCAAAGCGCCCTTTCTCCTTAATGTCAGGTTTCTTTTTTTTTTTTTTTTAATTTCACCTTCAGCATCTAAAACAGAGCTTGGCATGTGCACGCGACAGATATTTGAATTAACTAATTTTGTTGAAAGTCCATCTAGCAAAGAGCTGTGAGGGGCAGCATGAGGTTTCCTTGCTAGCTGACCCCCCTGCAGCAGCCCGCCGGGCGGTTGTACCCACTGCCCGTCCGTGCAGAAAGCCTGCCCGTAATGGGTGGTTCTGGCTCATTCAAGTCTGTCTTCTAGCCCTTGTTCTCAGCTAGAGCTCATGGCAGTCCACCCACACTCGGGTCTGCAGACAAGCAAACCGTCACCCAGGCTGTGGGAACCCTCTTAGTGAAGATGCTTGTTTGTCCATGAGGTAATTATTGATTGATTGAGACTGCATGGATGGGGGGGGATTTTTTGGAAATTTCTCAAATTACAGTCACTATAACATCTGCCAAAGGTGGTTTCATGATGAATGACCGCCTGAGGTCACCATCCTCCAACCGCTAAGCCCTTGGAAACTGCCCAGGCTGGGTCTTTAGTACCCGCATCCAGACCCTTGTCTCCCCTGAGCCTCTGCCATTTTGCGGTCCCGTTTGAGCTGCTTCGGCTTTGTTCCTTTTCCCGATAACACTGGAGAAGTTGGGGAGGGGTACGGACCCCACGGATGACCCATGCCCGGGGCCCAAGTACCGTAACCTGTGGCTCGCTCACTCGCTCCTCGGCACCCGCCGGGTCCCCCGCCCCTGGCTTCACCCGAATCATCTCAAACAAGGTTCCCTCCTGCCACCTGCCGGCGTGCAGGCGTCTGCGCCGGGGCTCGGCGCGCGGGGCCCGCCGGGAGGCGCCCCCGCCTCCTTACTGCACATGCCCGGCAGAAGTCCGGGCGCGCAACTTTGCAGAACCTCTCCGCCCCGTCTCTGCTCGCCTCAGTCTCCTGTCTCCTCTCCCAGGCGAGAGGACCCGCCAGGCGCCTCTCCGAGTCCTGGACTGCGGAGTCTGAGGCTTGGCGAGGGGAGCGGGGAGGAGACGGGCTTTCTGCCCACCCCATCCCTCTTTGCTCAGAGGGGCAAGCAGAGGCTTTAGAAAGTTGAGTGGGCAGGAAGGTAGGTGCTCCTCTTTCTGCCCTTCCACCGAGGTGGGGCTGGGACCTCCGGACCCAGCGTCTCGCCTCGTATAAGGTGCACCTTTCTTCCGGCTCTCGCAGCCGATGCGCATCGGAGCCGCTCTCTGCAGAGCCAGGGGGCGGGCCGGCTTCTCGGTGTGTGCCTAAGAGCATGGATCGCAGGCCGCGGGCTCCGCAGTGGCGCCGAGCTCGCCACCATCACCACGACCTGTGCCCCCCCATCGGCCGCCGGGCAGCCACCGCGCTCCTCTGGCTCTCCTGCTCCATCGCGCTCCTCCGCGCCCTGGCCACCTCCAACGGCCGCGCCCAGCAGCGCCGGAGCTTCCTTAACGCCCACCACCGCTCCGCCGCCCAGGTGTTCCCCGAGCCCCCCGAGTCTGACCCCGAGCTGGAGGAGGCTGAGCCCGAGCCGACCCTCCCGGAGTGCCTAGAGTACGAGGAAGCCTTCGACTACGAGTCCGAGACCGAGTCTGAGATCGAGTCCGAGACCGACTTCGACACCGAGCCCGGGACCGCCCCCACCACCGAGGCCGAGACCGAGCCCGAGGACGAGCGCGGCCCCGCGGTGCCCAAGCACAGCGCCGCCGACCAGTCCCTCAGCCAGCGCCTCCGCGCTCTGGGGCTGCGAAGCCCCGACGCCTCCCCCAGGCGCACGCAGCCCAGCGCCCGGGAGCCCCAGCGCCCCAGAGAAGGGGAGGTGCCCCGGAACGAGGATCCGAGGGACCCCGCGAAGCCGAAAGAGAAGCAGCAGCGGCGCCGCTGCAAGCCCAAGCAGCCCGCGCGCCGCGCCCCCTCCCCGGAGCCCCCCGCCAAGAGGGGCCCCATCCCCATCCGGCGCCACTGATGGACGACGCCGTCCAGATTCTCCTTGTTTTCTTTGATTCAGGTTAGTTCCCGCTGCGAAACTGGGGGCCTGGGGCCGGTGTGGGAGCCGCGGGAGGAAGAGGGCAGGTTAGGGGAAGGCGGGGAGACAGCGGGCCCAGCTGGCCGGCTGGGGGGTGGTGGCCGGGGCAAGCTGGGAAGAGCTCCTCAAATCTTCCCGGGGTGGGGGGTGCGCTGGGAGAGCACCGGGAGGGCGCAGGGGGCGCCCCGGGGGCCGAGGGCTTGTCGGACGGCGGGCGCTCTTTGCGCCCCGCTAGAGACAGCCTGAGGTGTCCAGGACGCACGACCGAACCGCGGCCGCACCCCAGCTTTCGAGCTGCACACCCCAAAGCACGGGTAAGTCACCTGTTCTCTGTGCTTTTCTCCTTCCTAGAGACTAGTCTCAAAGCAGGCGGCTTTGGCGGGCGCCCGAACGTGGTTGGGAGGCGCGCGCCAACTTTCACAAAGCAGAGCAGCCTCACTGTGGCGACGCTGTTGGAACGTGCCAAAAGTAACCGCACAGGGTTGGGCGAGAACTCTGGGGACCGCGGGCTCCGGGACACTCGGAGCCTGGAGCCCAAGTCCGGTGCGGCCAATTTGGAGGCTCAGGATCCTGGGTGCCAGTGCCCCTGCGGCCATGCGCCAGTCCTGGCTGCCACCGCCAGCCTCCGGGCGCTCGCAGGGCCAGAGACCGCGGCAAAGAGCGTGCGCACCTGCCTACGCGCCCTGGAGCCACGTCTCAGAGCGGCGGGCAGGTCTCCCCCAACCCCTCGCCCCAGTACCGCACTTGGAGGGCAGGCAGAGGAGGTCCAGGAGTCTCCATGGGTACCTCTACGGGCCACCAAGGCTGGTGCTGCCGGCTTGGTCACGTCCGGGTATCTCCAACCTTGTGGCGGAGCTGGGTGCCGCTTGGCTGGAGAGGTCCTGGCCGTCTGCGCAAGGCCCTAGGGGTGGAGGAGAGGGCGGAGAGGGCGAGGCGTTCGCGAGCGCAAAGCTAAAGCAGAGAGGGGCGAGCTGTCGAGGGGGTCGCGGCGATCACGGGGACGCCCCACAGTGCGCCCCCAAAGACATCATCGGGACACCCTACAGCGCGCCCCCCAAAGAGCGCGGCACCTGCAGAGCTGGGGAAAGGTGTTGGACCCGACGCAAGTCTTTGGGCGCCAAGTCGAGAGGGGGCCGGGCCGGTGGCTTCCGCAGCCCCGGGCAGTGGCGGGGAGGTGGCGGGCACCGGCCATTTTCGGCTCCGGTGGCGCTAAGTGTGGAATGCGTAACTTGGAGGGAGTAGTTGGGAACTGCCCCGGTGTCCGAGCACAAACCCTCCGCGACCCGGGAACATACCTGGGGTGGGGGAAGCGTGCCCTTCTCGCCGGTCCTGGGAGAAAGGCCGAGAAGCGGCACGAATCCCCAAAACCTCTACCGATCTGGAAACTGAGCTTTTTCTGGGGCGCGCGTCTCGTTTTTGCACCAGTCTGAACTATTCTGATGAGAGACCGTGGGAGCAGGTGACGTGTTTCGAGGCATTAAACGGCAGTCGGGTTCTCAGACTCCTGAGGAAGGGTGCAGCCCGAAGGCGTGCACTGTAAACAGTCATCCTGCCGGGTCCCCTCCTGGGGAGGGCGCACGGCACCCCGCGCTTTGCTGTGCGCGGCGGCCGCCGGCTTGTCAGCGGGGGCGCCGGGGCAGCGGGGCGCGTCCCGAGTCTGGAGGCGGCCGAGGACTCGCAGGACGTCCCGTGTGCCCTGCCGCTGGCTTGCAGGCGTGAGAAACTGCCCGAGCGAAACGGGCTCCCAGAGTTGAGATTCCTCCTGCACGTGAACGCGACGATGTGTTCTGTTTCTCCTCTGGTGACACCTTAGCAGCCTCAGTTCACCAAGGCAAAGGTCTCCTTGGTGTTTGGGGCGTGCTCCTCAGGCTGGGGGCTGCTTTCAGAGCAGGTCGTCTGGGGGCCTCTCTTCCTGCAGAGTCAGGGTTTTCAGAGGAATCAGCATGTTGCCTCGTTGCAGGATGAATACACAAGTTTTAAAAAGGTCCTCAGTGCCTAGCGCACACCTCCCTCCCCGCTCGGTCTGGGGGTGTGTGTGTGTGTGTGTGTGGGTGTGTGTGTGGGTGTGTGTTTTTAACTGTACGCAATATACAGGCAGGCTTATTATTGGGGGTCCCATCTAAGAACCCACGAAGAGTTGGCATCCTTCAGACACTTCCATAAACTGACAGTGAAAACCTGTTACCCACCCACACACCCCTCCCCCACTCGCTTTCCCTCCCCCAATGTCCCTCCTTCCATCTTGGCTCAGGCTGGAAACGCGGCAGCCCACACAAAACAACTAAGGAATACACCAGTCCCCTGGGAAAGTGCCCAGGACCCACCCGCAAAGGGGAATTTTGCTTCACAGACGCTTCAAACCCTCTCCACCTAAGGCACTGGTGTTCAGCTGCCTTTCTTTGCCAAACTTTCTGGCACATTCTCCAGCCATTCCCAGCTCCCTCAGTCTCCCACTGGCCCTTTGTCTCCCCTGC